CTCATGGCAAAAGAGAGAATGTGCCTGTGTCAAGGTTTCTCTTGGGCAGAGTGACCAGTATGAATGCCATTGTTTTGTGAAGACTAAGTGTTCAGAAGCACTTAAAAGCATGCCCATGTCTGTGCTGTTTTGATTTTGCAACTCACTCAGCATTGCAGGGGGTATATGGAAATCTTTATAGCTCAGAGACACCTGATAAAATCTCTCAATCTGTCTTCATTTAGATTGTGGTACCCTGAGAACACTCCTCTAGATGAATGAAGACAGCACAAATAAAAGTGTTATGTTAGGGCTATCTTCACATTGCAAGAGCAGCACATGCATCTGTGAGATTATTTAATTGGCAGGTGCATCGGGGCTGTGTTGCACTGTTTTGGTATGCTAGTAAGTCTGTCCTTAAAATAACTGTGGCTTTAAAACAGCTAGCATATCACAGGTTGTTAGAAGTAACATATTACGACATGCTCTGAGGGTTTTTACTTAGTGTTTGGAGTTAAAAATATGTCTTATATACTAGAAATTCAATAAGGTGCCTAAGTCCTCTGAAAAAAAAATGTATTTAGGGATATCGCTGTCACTCTCCTATTGACTGTTTTAGAAAACTAAAACCCAAGCCCATCAAAATCTGTAAAGATCACTCCAATTATGCCCAAACAACTCATTAAAAACTAAATCAAGGAAGTGTTAATGTATTCAACAGGTGTAACTGTGTCCTGGATTCAGCAGTAGCAGTCATTTTTCTCCTTGGTAGCTGGTGCAGTGCTGTGTTTTGACTTTCGGCCTGGGAACAGAGCTGATAACAATGATGTTTTGGTTTGGCCAAGGACTTTGAGAGCCTCATGCTCTGCCAGGGAGGAGGGGAAGCCAGGAGGAAGCAGGGACAGGACACCTGACCCAAGCCAGCCAAAGAGGTATTCCATACCACAGCACGTCATGCCCAGGATGTGACTGGAAGTTACCCAGAAGGGCTGGGAGACTGCAGGGTTGGAGGAGGTATCGGTTGGTGCTTGGTTGGGCTGGGGGGGCGAGTTATCGGTCAGCTGGTGCTGAGGTGTTGTATTCTCTTCCCTTGTTATTTCCTTTATCATTATTATCATTGGTGGTAGCAGTAGTGATTTGTGTTATACCTTATCTCAACCCGTGGGAGTTGCATTCTTTTAGATTCTCTCCATCCCTCCAGGAGCAGGCGGAGGGGAAGAATGGGGGGGGGGGGGGAAGTGAGTGAACGAGCTGTCTGGCTGGGTTTAAACCACAGCAAACTGTAATAAACCGAATGATTCTTCTATCAGTTATTCCTTTTTGAGCTCTCTTCCCAAGGTACTGCTCTGTGCACAAGGGGATTTCTGTAATAATTACCCCTCAGTGCCCAGTGGAATAAGTGGTAATTACGCTGTCTAAATGTAGAAATAGATCCTCATGCCATTGGTTCCAAAACTGACAGGAAGCCTTACCCCATTTTTTTAAGGGTTTTTCAGTTTTCGTATTCCTCTAGCACTGCAAGACTGAAGATACACACAGCATTGCACAGAATTCCTTGCTCTGCAGCTTCCCTGAACTACCTGTCTTGTAACTTGTTTAATAAACAATTGTTGTACCCTAGGGTTCCTTTCCTCAGCTGCAGAGTAGGGACAGCAGATGTTCTGCAAAATTAAATCCTTTGTGATTATGGGGTTGCTCAGAGGGCCATCACACCTACCCACCCCCAAGAGAATGAGTCAGTCAAGCAAATGAAAATTCTATTCCTCTTTCCTATCAGCACGAATGGAAATTGTTAACACTTTTAGTAAACCATGCCACCAAATGGGGACAAAACTGTTAGGAGAAACTTATACCTGTGTTGTGATAGTGTGAGTGGCAATGGGAAAAATTATTTTGCTGGACAAAAGCCCACCACCTGGTATTTTTGCCAAGGTAGAGGGTCTCGGGAATAATGACAATGTTACAAAGCTAAAAGGGAGGATGAAATCTTGTAGACGGTATGTACAATTTACACGACTATCCTAGAAGGTCTGATCAATATCCGTTCACAATACTCTGCTCCTTCATGGTAATGAACTTTCACACTTAATTACAGAAAAATAATTTATCTCATCAGATTGACTTGCTGAATTAAAGATTCTAAATCTCTTTTTTTGGGCCAACGCACCAAATATAAACCTTCCATCTACAGTGCAGTCTCTAAATTTAGCCAAGAATTAAGATATTCCTGCTTCTGCATCCTGAATAATCTAATGGAATCAATTATGGCTTTGCGTAGATGGCATCTGGTATTTACAAATACAACACAAAACATGAAATCCAACCAAAATAAGCATGAAACTAAAGTTTCCACCCATCCTACTTCATCCTCAGTAAACATATTATTATTTTGCATCACGGAGTGGATTTTTCATATTTCTTACAGATTTCAGCTTAGAAGCTCTCCAAGAGAATGTAACACAAGCAGAAGAAAGGGGCTTTGTCTTCTTTCAAATACAGCCTAAATAGATAAATATAACTGTACCTGCAATCAAGGACTCTTCCAAATGCTGCGCAGCCAGGAAGGGTATGGGTTATGTCCCTCACTGAACTCCAGACCAGAGTCAGAGCCTAGCAAAGCAAGAAGTCCCCTTCTAAGGACTTGGCTAGCCTGTGGCCTCTGAGCAGCCTTGGAGGAGACAATGCACCCTGAAACGTTCTACAGTGAAGATCCATGTTTCTCTCAACCCCTACTGCTGTGGTGTACAGCCAGACTTGCAAGCCTCTGAAACAGGGGTTGTTTTTTTCTTTCTCCTCTGGTTTAATTTTAAATCACATGTACTCTTTTATCCAGTTCAAGTACCTGCCCAAATGCTGCTGCCAGCACAGAGAAGGGGACAGCTCAGTTGAGGGAATGAGTGACTGTGAGCTTTTGCAGGAGAAAAGGGAGAGAGACATTTATTTCAGTGGCAGCAGCAGCTTGTGCTGAGTTACAGTTATTGTGAAACTACAGCAAAGTCACAGACTCTCATCATTGTGTCTGAATGGATTAGTGCAACAGATTCCAGCCATAGTACATTTTACATATGTATCTAAACTTATGTAAGAATACGTGACTTTAGGTTCATAGGTGGAATACATGGGGTGTTTTCATTCCAAGATTACAACCCTACAAATACCTAAATGTGGGTAATTTCAGTGGTTTCTGAAACTAATACATTTTGTGGGTTTATCCAAATGTTGCTAGAATGTCTGTTTTGCTTACAAGAAACAAATGTTCCCTGTGAAAATATCTGGCTTTAATACCTTTAACCACAACTGTTGAAATTGCTGAAGCAACTACTGATCACAGCATGACACAGCCATCTATAAAATAATTTAACTATAGTTTGGAGGAAGTGACTCCATGCTATGGTTCACTGTCTGAGCTACATACTATGCTGCAACACTTTCTCTTCTTTCCCATCTATCATAAAAATAGGGGCAGGTCTTCAATCATGTCAAAGTATCCCTTGCTAAAAACACATGTTCAAATTTGCTAAAAAAAATAAAAAAAATAAAAAAAAAATTTTCTGGTATTTTTAGTATGTCATTTTAATCTTCATGAGTTCAGCAACGATAAGCCATATGAAGTAATATCAATATCATAAGCAGATGCCCTCACCACAGGTAGTTAAAAGGTTCTTCATTGTTTAATTTAACCAGACACTTCAGAAATTACTTGATTCTACTCAGTGACAGTGTAAATGGAAGTTAGCTATGCAAGAAGATGAAATAACCACCAACCTGAGTTTGCAGCGTGAGTTGAGTTCTGAAGCTTAGTATCCTTGCTACATGTTGTTGTGTGCAAACTGGCTATAAGGATACTGTTACAGCAGAAGAACTTCAGGAGTTTTAGTAACCATGTAAATGCAAACTCTCGCAGCTCCTGCTTGAATACATGTAGATGGAGCAGAGCCTCTGTGGGCTGTCTGTGCATGATGTATCCACGTGGCAAATCAACCAGAGCCTGCCTCTCCTCCGCACTCCTGGCTGCAGCAGGATGCCCTGGGAGTGTGGACCGTGGCACATGCTGCTCACACCTGACCAACTTCTACCTGCTTCCGTTTTAACCTGGGCTTCTCCCCACAGTAATCTGTACTTTTTGAAAGGCAAAATTTATTCTAATTTATATATGCATGTAATAGCTGTTAGGCTGGGAAACGTGTCGCACAAAGATGTGAACCATTAGAAGAATCCTGACATCTAAACCTTCCTAATATAACATAGCAATAAATATTACAAACTTTTTTGAAAACTGAGCAATGCATAGAATATTACTTCCAGCTGCATATTGCAAGTCACTGGAAAGAAAAATATCTTGGCCTAATAAAAAATAGGAAAGACTGGCAATGACCATAGAAAATCTTCTGGGACCAAAATAGTCCCAAAGTTGGAAAAGTATTTTGGAAATATGTATTTATTATTCATTTTATTTACGGAGAATAGCTCCTAAGTAGCAAACCTCCCAGTTATAACACTTACAGTAATCTTGACTTTAAACAGACAACTACTAGTTCCTGTGATATAATATCACTTATATCAATTTCATTGGTCCAGCATTGACCAGAGAAGTCAAAAAGTGAAAAAAGATCAGTTTCCAGCTCATGTTTAAAGTGAATAATAATACCACTGTATTTTTAGTACAATGGAAAGAGTTGTGATAGTCCTGTGGTAAGGAACAACTCAGTCTCTACCAAGTGCTACACAAGCTGTGTAGTTTGCTGTTCAGAAGGGTTATAAACAGTCCTTTTATTTCAGCCAAAGTGATAAGAATAGGCATGATTCAATGGCACATTTTAGCGTGTCACTAGAATGTGATCTTCTGCAAACTGCTTTTAACACAATAGACCTATTACTTGACCGGCATATTTGATGGTCACATGCTTTTGTTGCCATGGGCTGTGAGAATCAGTGGAATCAGAATTGCTGTAGAAATGTGAATGTACTTTTATGACGGTCTGTAGTAATTCTGTACGTCTCTTATGTCTGTGTTCTTATAGCCACTTGGGCACTGAAGTAGCTGAAATGAGAAAGAGGCAGCAGTCACAAAATGAAGGAACATCAGCTGTGTCTCAAGCACCTGGAAACCAAAGGCCCAACAACACATGTTGCTTTTGTTGGTGCTGTTGCTGCAGCTGTTCATGGTATGTTCTGTAGTCTATTTGGTTCCATATCCACCACAGGTAAACAATGAGAATGGAAAGTGCCAAGCACTGGGAATATGCAAATGTGTGGGAGAGGATTTCTGTCAAGAGGCACAGTTTAACATTTCACTTAAGAATTTGATTAAACAGTTCCCTGATTTGGTTGGACATCTTGTGAGGGGGAAGAGGAGAGAGTAGTAAATTCCAGCTATATTTACCATACTTAAACCGTAACTAAATGAGGAAATTTCAGTTGCAAAACTAGTATGTGTGAATGATAGACTTGATACTGAACGCTTTGTAATTTGCATGCAAAACATTATTTTTTCCTGCTTGTAGTTTTGATATTGTAGTTCTCTACATTCAGGAGTGTAAAAGGGAGATAGATAGTCATAAATGAGGATATAGAATATGTGGTAACCTGTTTACTACTTAGTTGTCGAATAACATATATATTGTAAATCTGAAAACACAAGCCTTACATTCCACTCTATCTTTTAATTGGTGTGGCATTATTTTAGTGGAAAAAAGGCTCAAAAATTGTCATTGCTTGTCTCTTTCTAAACAAAGAGTTCACCTGGAAATTTAAAGAATTAAAGCCAGTTTCAGAAATATGCTTAAATTCTTAGTGTTGAGATGCACCAGGTCTTTATTTCTTCTTGTCATGAACACAGTGTTGAAATACACAGTAACATACAGTACATGTTACTGTGTATTCCTGTTACATACATAGTTCAGTCTTTTTGGAGTGACTGTTCCTCTGTGTATCTGTGTTATTTTCACTTGAATCAGCCATCTGGCACCAACCTAGAACCTGAGGCTATTTGCCCTCAATGTATTTTAAAATACATACCAGCATGTATGCACCAGGCATCAAATGAGACAGCTTTTTCCAAGATGCCACATCCTGGAGGCAGTACCAGGGCAGACCTGCCTTGGCTATTACTTCTGGTTTCATCTGGAGGCAGAAAATATTTGGAGCAAGGATGAGTGAGAGCTCATTCTTTTCAGAAGTTACTTTGCAGTGTGTTCAATCCATACAGCAAAGAGTTGAAAGTGTATTAAATAGGAAGAGAAGGAAAGATGTTTTGCCACTGTTACCTCTGCTTTTGTGACAAGGGCACAATTTAAGACTAGCTATACTGTTACAGAGCAGAGGTTCATTTAGCTCAGTACCCTCTTTCAGGAAGTGACCCGTAGTGGATGCCACAAAGAAAGGTTCAAAAAAGCGGAAATACACCTCCTCAGCCTACCTACAGTAAAACTCCTCACAACTTCTGACAACCTGCAACTTAGGGTTTTCTTGGCCCAGAGCTTATTTCTGTGTGTTTTATAGCCCTTGATGGAATTTTCTTTCATTAATTTGTCAAACCACTTTCTGAAGCGACTTCCTGAACTCATCTAAACTTTTGGCATCCCAAGTTTCCTGTAGCAATAAATTCTACAAGAGATCTGTGAGCTCTGTAAACTACTGCTCCCTTTTATTTGTTTTAACTTACTAGATGTTGATTTAATTTGATGCTTCCTTGTTCTTATGACTGTGAAGAACAGTGAGTAATTGTTGCAAAGATGGTGATGATTTCACAGAGCTCTACCAAATCCCCCTTCAGCTGTCTTCTGTTCCATAGTCTTCTCTATTTTAATATAGAAAATGCCCCGGACCATGGTTTATGCTTATCTCTCTTCTATCTATCCACCTACCTTGTGTCTTTTTCTGTACCTCTCCTATTCTGTTATCTCCTGTCTGAGATGTGTGATTAGATCTGTTGCAGTAGTCAAGACACAGGTGTACCACTTTTTGTGTTTGGTTTTTCATTATTAATTCCTAGCTTTCTGCTTGCTTTTTAACAGCCCCTGAGATTATGTTTTCATAGGATTATCCACCATGACTACAATATTTCTTTACTGAATGGAAATAAAGCCCATCATTGTGCATGTACAGCGTGGATTGGCTTTGCCTTGCATACTGGAACATGAATGGCCATAAAAGTAACAGCCTAATTTCTAAAACTTAAAGACAACTGATTTTATTTTTTAAGCAATGTAACTATAGCTCGAGAAGTCTTATTTGACGACTATATTTTGAAGCTTTCATAAACTTTGTGACTCTTGGAGACCCCACTGTCCTTATGTGAAATACCATTATTTGTTTGAACAGCTTATGCATCTAAATTAGAGCAATTATCGATTTAGTAATTGGTTTTGCTATTAATACTCTGACTTTCAGGGGTCTTTGGGGGTTGAGGGCTTTGTTTTGGTAAAGTAGATTAAACTGAGCATGGAGAAATCCTGACCATTTCAACTAGTTTTCAGGATTAAGTCAAAGAATGAGTTAAAGGGGATAGTGACATTGCTTGTGTTTTCTAAAATCAAAAAGGTAGAATGCATGATGTACTAAGTCTTTTCAAGCTCTGTCTTCTGTGATTCCATGGTGGAAACTCCATGAGAGGAGAGATGGGACAAAAATTTGAAAAAGATGATATGAAATGTTTCAGAATCTCAGTTAAAATGAAGTCATTTGTTCTGAGGCCAAATTTGTTTGGTAAATTTGAGCTATCCCTGTAGAGTACAGCTTGCTGTTCTTGCCTCAGTTATGTACCCTTAAAAACCCCACAAAAATTGTTTTGAAAAAAATATGTAACTTAGCTAGTCACTCATTATATAGGGGATTCTAGGTAGGTAATCCTCTAGGGTAGTTCTCTGTGACAGGGAAGCCTAATTGATAATTCTAACAGGTTCTCTGGACCGAATGCAGTTACAGGCCTTCTCTAGTTCCACAGGTCTTTGTATTTCAGTAATGTGAATTTCTCAAGAGATACCTGTCTGAAAATGTTTATGGATTCATTAATAGTGATGAAAACGCTTTAGCTATCAATATCAAGATTAGGAGACTTTTCTTTTGTTTTCCCCCAGCCTGTGTGACTCAGGGCAGCTCTTACATCACAGACCTCTTAGTGCCTCAACTTCCTCACCATTCATAGAAATGAAACGGGGTGGCTTTTAATAAGAAGCTTTCACTTTCATCTATTTGAAGAGTTGGTTCAATAGTTCATATATCCAAACAAATCATTAGAATTCTGAAAATATCTTTTGTGAATCATGTGATTTTTTTTTTCTTCTGTTCCATCCTGTGTTACAATCAGAATACACATTAAGTCTTCTGTTTGCATAACATTATAGGCAAATACTCACACATTTGTTTGGGGAAGTAGTGCCTTGCCTAATAGAGACTTGTTAACAGCAAAAATTTAGATAAAAAAAATTATTCAATACATCTTCTTACAAACATTTTTGCCACTAATAGTTGCTTCTCAAGGGTAACAAATATTTGAAGTACTTCTCCATTGCTGTGAGATAACCCTGGTAGGCAGCTCAGCCGCTTGCAGCTGCTTGCTCACTCCTGCCCTGTGGGATGGGAAGAAAATCAGAAGGATGAAAGTGATAAAACCCATGGGTTGAGACACAGACAATTTAACAGGTAAAGCAAAGCTGTGTGCACAAGTAAAGCAAACCAAGAAATTCATTCACTGCTTCCCGTTGTCAGGCAAGAGTTCAGCAGGGCTCCATCATAAGTAATGGTTACTTGGGAAGACAGATGCTACAGTGAACCTCCCTCCTTCCTCCTTCTTCCCCAGCTTCTATTGCTAAGCACGATGTCACATGGTGTGAACTATCCCTTTGGTCAGTTGGGGTCAGCTGTCCTGGCTGCATACCCTCCCAGCCTCTTGAGCGCACCCACCCTGCTTGCTGGCAGGGTACAGTGAGAAACAGAGAAATCACTGATACTGTGCAAATGCTGTTCAGCAACAGCTAAAATATTCATGTGTTATCAACACTGTTTTGATCATAAATCCAAAACACAACACCATATGGGCTGCTATGAAAAAAATTAACTCCATCGCAACCAGACCTGGTACCTCTAGTAGCACTGGAAATTGTCAGGACAGTAAATTGCTTAGTTCACAAGGGCAAAGCAGGGCTGATTACCCAGGTTTGCTCAGATTGGAAAAGGTGGAGGTAAATAGGCTCCTTAACTTGGCCATTTTATTGTAATAGGTATGGTCAGGATGTTGCCAAACTAGCTTAAGCCTTGAACTGGTGCCTGACCATCAGTAATAAAGGAAGCAGTCCTCCTTAATGGAGAAAATAAAGTGCTTCTAAAGTTCACAATAGGAAAAGCTTGTCCACTTACTGCAGAAGCAGATGATATAACCCTCTGGAGATCTTCTATAGGACCTTCCTCTCTCTGCTGACCAAATACAGACCTTTGGCATGTACTTCAGGAAGACTGCCTCATTAAAGCACCTAACAGAGAAGTACCAGTCAGGTACCTAAGGTGCTGGACTGAATCTCACCCTGTGTTTTAAACTCCCACAAAATACCATTCCCACAGAGGACAGAAGAAAGAGCTTCCTTACTAGGTGTCATTTCAATGACTCAGGTAGCCCGAGGGTTGCAACATTTGCAGTAAAACTCCTAACGTGACAGTCTATAATTTCCTCAATTAGACTGTGTCCAGAGAAAGTATTTAGTGCTATGGCCTTACAGTTTTGAGCTCAGCTTGGCAAGGTAAGAATAGACACCTGCTATTTCCCCTCCCCAGCCTTATTAGCAATTCATTACTCCAGCTTCCTGAGCAGACATGAAGTCAGTCGTTCTCTTGCAAACACTTGTAAATCACATTCTTCAAAAAGCCTCTCAAGCACAGGGAGGTTAGCTATTCTGCCAATTTTATTTTGCTCTTGTCTCCCACCCAGAGCAGGAGTCATATATTTTTATCCTCTCTTCCTTTCATAAGGTGCTCAGTGAGTTTTAAAGCTGTGGGACAAATTATGCCTGATAATCCGTCTCCTTTTACCATACACAGAAGGCTCAGAAGACATCTAACATCTGCCCTGCAAGAGATTTTGCAGTACAGGAGTCTGGGGAGCATGAAAAGGCTTACAAGGGGATAAGTGAATATGATCACACCACTTCACTTGGTTCTGTAGCTCAGTTCA